ACAAATAAAATTCATAAAGAATATATTTTCAATATTTTTTATTAAATGTACATTTAGTTGGACTATTATAAAAGCAAAAAAATCATACTTAAAAGTTTAAGGTTAACTAAAAGAGACTTTATTTGAAGCCAGAAAAGCAATTCGAATTTTCGCAAAATTACGAAAATGTCGTTAAAAAAATAAACTTTTAAATGTCTACCTATCTAGAACTTTTGAAAATAAGTTTCACAAAGCTGATAAAATTTATTCCCTCACAAAATAAAACCAGATTTCAATTTTAGAATATTTAGCCTAAAAGTTTAAAGCTTAAGCTTTTAAAAAACTTTTTATTCTGTGCACACAGTTCTAATAATGTTGTGAGAATGTTAATAAATAATTAATACATTCCGTGTAACTTTGTTTATTTATTCTTAAACATTGGTCTCGCAGAAACAATACCAGTATAACCAATATATGGGTTATGTTCTTGACGAGAATTCGTGTTTTATTTTCATAAACTATTAGTAATTTAAAATTGTAAATTTTAATTATAAATATAAGTTCGCTTCGTCAGTTTTTTTCATTGACTAAAGTGTTTACTTGAAATTTGTAACTTGTAAATTTCTGTGAAAATAGAATCTATTTCCGAAATTAAAAACATAAATAAAAAAAATTTAGTTTGAGATCTAAGATATGTAAAATAACATAAAGATGTATTTCTCAATCATGTAAAATAACATAAAAATGTAATTAGCAATCTCCCGTGCGGGGAATCGAACCCCGGCCACGGCGGTGAGAGCGCCGGATCCTAGCCACTAGACCACACGGGACACATGAGCCAAACATTATTTTTATTATATATACAAATTTTAATCATAAATTTTAATTTATAAAATGTGATTTTTATATTGAAGATTGATAGAAGCGTTTTTAAAACTTAAAAGAGGTTTTTATTAAAGAAAGAAACAAAAATTTTAAAAGCGAATAATATTCACCATAAAACTAGAGTTCGCCGATTTCAAAGAACTTACTTCCAAAAAATTTACTTTAAATTAACGGTAACTGCGGTAATTTAACCGTCACTTAAGTTAACTTGAGTGTAAGGGTCGTCCATAAAGTACGTACGTTCGGAGAGAAAGAGGAGGTCTGCAAATGGCGTTTCTAAGATAAGGGGGCAGTAGGCCAATTATAAAAGTATGGAGACACTAAATTAAAAAAAAAAAAACATAAAATGTTGGGTTAGTAGGTTAAAAGCGTAGGTACTTTTGGGGAGGTAGAGGGTACTCAAAAAAGCGTACGGCAAATTGCGGGGAAGGGGGGAGGGGGGATGAGGGGTTGCGATAAAAAAGCGTACGTACTTTATAAATAAACCCCTAACTTATAGTAACATTGGGCAAGTTATAATTTAAAAAGTAACTTAAAAAAAATTGACTACTATTATTGATAAAATGTGAGAAGAATTCTTACATTATTAATAATACTCGCGTAGATTTCATTTAAGTCATTTCATTTGCGCACAAATATTTTTTAACTTATTAAAAAATTTAGATTGGTAATTAGTAGTTTAGTTTCCGAAATTTATGCAAAAAAGCCTTAAACTTGTTGTAACTATTAAGAGCCATTGTCAGAGAAATCTTCAAGTTGTCTTCATTTTCAGATATTTTGTAAAAGACAAAAAAAAAATTATATTTATCTTTTCGAAATCGCTCCAAATGATGTTGAGAAAGTCGCATTCGAAAGTGTTTTTGTTGCATTGTTAGCAAATGCGGCACCCATTGTGCACACAGCTTTTTTAAACCCAAAATCTCACTTAAAACATTATGTACTGTACCATGTGAGATGTGCACGGTGTAAACTATCTCATCCACGGTAAATCGCCTGTCTTCCAAAACCAAATCTTGTATTTTTGCTATAATTTGTGGTGTTGATGCACTTTTTGGACGTCTTTTTTGTGGATCATCTACAAGACTTATACGGTCACATTTAAACTCAGCAACCCAATTATATACTGTTGTAAGTGAAGGTGAAGAATCTTTATACATTTTTAACAATCATTCATGAATCTGTTTTGATTCTACCCCTTCTAAAAATAGGAAGTCAATTACTGCTCGACACTTGATTTTTTTTCATATTAAAAAAACACTGTGACACTTCTACTTTAAATAGCTCTAAATATAAAATTAATGCACTACACGAAAACTTGCACGTGTTCATACAAAAGTAGTACCAATGTTAGAAAAATAAAATGACAGACCTATTACCGCCATTTATGTGTGATTCTAGAAGCTTATTGACTTGCCTGATAGAACAGCAATTATAAGTAAAATACTTACAATGTCCATGGATTACTAGAGGTTACTAGGTATAAAAAAATCTTCACCAAAAAAAAAAAAATTTTAAACTAAATATTTAAAAAACAGTAATGAAAAAAACGTAAATATTTACAAGCAATACAAAAAAATAAAATCGAAATTCAAAAAAAAACTACTACTCAAAGCAAATAAAAATGCATTAAAATTAAAAAAAAACATGAAGCATTATAATAGGAATAATTGGCAACAAAAAAACTTAATCAATTAATTTGCCTGCTTGAATCATCATAGACAATATAGAGTACAGTGACAAAAATAAAATTGCTGAAAAATTCAACAAATTTTTTGTTAACATTGGCCCTAATCTTGCCTCAAAAATTAGATTTCCAAATAACTCGTTTGAATCATATCTAACTGATGCCCAGAGCGACTTAAAATACAAAGAACTAAATTATCAAAAACTTAACGTTGCTCTAAACTCCTTAAAATTAAATAAAACTCCAGGAATAGATTATATCTATAGTTGGGTAGTGTCTTTACAGCGATAAATAAACCTATATTTAAAATTTTCAAGTCTTTGATTAAAACAGGTACCTGTTTTAATCAAAGTACCTGACAAGTTAAAAGTAGCTAAAGTAGTAACAATATTTAAAACAGGTGAATCATATCTAATTAATAATTATAGACCTACATTCTCTAAGCTTCTTGAACGAGTAATCTATAACAGATTGTACGAACATTTTACCCAAATAAATTTCTAAATAAAAAACAATTTGGCTTCCAAAAACAATATTCAACTGAACAAGCAATCCTAGATCTAACTAAAAGTATAAGTGATTGTTTTGATAAAAAAACAATATGTTCTAGGCATCTTTATAGACCTGTTAAAAGCTTTCGACACTTTAAATCATAATATTTTACTTAAAAAGATGGAAAACTATAGAATAAAAAACATCACCCTTAATTGATTTAAAAACTACCTAAGCAACAGACAACAATGTGTTACTTCAGACAATTATAAACACTAAAAACTACTACGATTAGAGTGCGGTGTCCTTCAAGGTTCCATTCTTGGACCCCTTCTGTTACTTCTATATAAAAAATCTCGAAAAAACTCACAAAAACCTTGAAAAATTCTTCGACCTTACAAAAACCTTGAAAAAACTTGATGTTATAATGTTTGCCGATGAAACAAATTTATTTTATTCATCTGGTTGAAATTAAATAAGCCACCACTAAATACAGAAAAAATAAAATACATATTGTTTCATTCCAAAAAACAAAAAAATATTGTCCCATCTATCCTTCCCTCACTAAAAATAAATATGGTAAATATTGAAAGAACAGAAACAACTAAATATCTTGGGATACTTATTGACGAAAATGTAACCTGGAGAGCAAAACATATTTACAAAAAATATTGGGATAGTTTACAAAGGTAAACCTATGTTGATCCTAGATAATCTTAAATCTCTTTATTTTTCCTACATCCAAAGTCATCTTACGTACACTAATATTTCATGAGCAAGTACACACAAATCCAAATTGAATAGGGGAAAGACGCCTATAATGGCATAGCGCCTTTGATGGCATTCAGGTCATATTTTGATAAATATTGGCAAAAAAGTGATTAGACCAGCATGTCAATACTGGCTTTACATTAGTTCTAGTAAAAATACGTCCCTTATGCACAAATATTGCTTTTATAATCAATAAAAATTGATTTTAGGGTGTGCTGATGTATTTTTAATCCTTTTAAATACTTAAGATTGTGATTTTACAATTAACTGTGCAGAAATGAAGTTTTCATGCATTTTATTTTTAGGTTTTGTGCATTTATTAAAATACATTTTTTAATTTTATCTTTTGAACAAGGCAGACATTATTTAAATGAAAATGATGAATTCTTCCTATGATGGCATACTGACGAGTTAATGGCGTTGCAATATTGACGAGTTAAGAAAACCTTTTACTTCACTAAAAAAATTTTGGTTCAAAAAACACATAAAATGCAAAATCTCTCATGCGAATGCGCGAAGCTCTACACTGCTGCTGTGTAGCACGAAGGGGTTAATAATGATGATTACGCGTAATTTCTTGCATTTCTGAGGGAAAACTTTAAGTTCAAATGAAATCGTCAAGTTACCTTTGATGCTAACCAGCCCCATCCACCCCTATGGCTATGTTTTAAAGCTTTAGAAAATAAATTACCGTAAAATCTTGATTATAATACGCACTTAATTTTACGGTACTTTCCAACGAAATTTTTTGTTTGGATTTTCAAATTTTCGAATAAAAGTCCAAGCTTAGAGTTTTTTTCATGTAAAAAGATAAGTTTAATTTAGTAAAGAGAAATTAGTTCGTTCACGAGAAAAATGGATTTTTAATTTATTGTTATAATGAAAAAGCAAGTAAAAAACACCAACTAGTACTATTTTTAGGCAAAACTGCGAGGCCCGGGATCCCCCTACCCTCTACCTTATTCCAGTACTGGTTCATATCTTCTGGAAAAGCCATTTACATTTAAAAATAAGAAAAGTACAAACAAAGTTTTTGTTAAATTTATAATTTTACTTAGAAGTTTAATAGAACTTTTTGCTTTAGGATATTTTTATTATTAGGAATATTTAAAGATTTAATAAAAAATCTTTAAACATAAATTTTTAGTTGGAGTTATAACTTGGATCCTTTTCTTATTATACCAGATAATTCTTTAAACTTTATTTATTGGTTGTAATTAATTCGTCTTGTTTGTTTTCATTTCAATTGAGTAATTAATTATAAATATCCAAATTATTTAGCAAACAAACGATTAAACCATTGAAGCGAATAATTGTAAAACTCTAAATCTTCTAATTATACTTCACACCATGATTCAAACCATTTGACATCTATTTTTATGCATCCATTGGTATTAATCATTTCTTAGTTCGATTAACCTAAGGTGCATCTAAAACTAACTCAATATTTTTTTTATCAGAATTTAATTCTTCGCTTAATTCAATGGTTCCCGTAACATCTTGATCGTTTGATTTAATAACTGTTGCTTTCGGATTTTCTACCGCATTAGTGATTATTTGGAAACGCCACTTGTGACCTGAAACAATAAAACAAAAAACTAAGGCTGAATATTAATTTACTTAAAAATTAAACAAAAATTTAAATACCTTTACAGTCGAGAAACTCCACAGCTGCTATATCTTTACAACATTTTCGGCAACGATTGAATTCACATTTTTGTCCCTATTTTAAATAATTTGTAAAAATTAAAACCTCTTAAGAATATTGATTTTTCTTTCATATTCAAAATTCATTTAAAAATTAAACACATAGGTTACTTTATACTAATTAAAGCGAACTAATGGTTTTTAAACATCATTTTTAAAATTTTCTATATTAAGATAATAATAACACAATAAAAACAGATACGATGTACAAATAACACGATAAAAACAGAAAAGCTAATTGAAGCTAAAATGCTGTTCAAACTTTTTCTCATTCTTCTTCCTTCTTGTGCAGACAAAAGTTTTTTCATTTCTGCACAAAAAAGAGAGTAAATCAAAATTTTTTAAAGTTTCCTCAAAAAAAAAAAAAAAAAAAAACTTTTTTAAAGGAAATAAAATTGCAGAATCCGTTATCTCAAACACGTTATTTTCCAATAGAACAGTTTAGCTTATCTCAAACACGTCCAATAGAACAGTTTAAATAAGTTCTCTTCTAGTTGTTCAAGAATTTTTTGTTGTTGCAATTTTTATAGGTTTTTTTCAGCATACAAAAAGAATAATTATCAAACAGAAAACTAACAAATAAAGGTGCGATACAATGTATTAAATTACTAAAATTTAAACGATTACTGTTTTATTTCAAAGATCAAGCAGAATTATTACAAAAACTCTGCGACAGAGATCAGTGGCAAAAAGCTAATGTTATACAACTGCAATTGTAAAGAGTTCAGAAATGAAAAAAATTTTAGTCTCATGTGGACTGCTCACAAACAAATAATGCAACAGATAAAAAAGATGTTCACATACTGAAGAGTATTAAAAGTCCTGGATTTTTAAGTAAAATGAAAAAAACTTTATATAGTTTCGTTTTGATTGTTAACCTTGAGTCTGTATTTAATATTATTTTGATCTTCTCGTTATTTTCATAAAACTATTAAAATACTTAATTAAACATATCGATGGGTTAATTCTAAAACATTGTATGTCCATTTTAGACTTTTAACCCATCGATATAATAAAAATTTAATTTATAACACAAAAACACAACTTTTGTTTATATATATATATATATATATATATATATATATATATATATATATATATATATATATATATATATATATATATATATATATATATATATATCTACCTGAGGATTAGGAGCACAAAAAGGTACAAGGGGGGGGGAGAATAACCTTTTATGTTTATTCTCTCTGAATCCTTGAACTATGAAAAAAAATCTATAAACCACGGTAGACAACTTAGAGAAACAAGTTAAATGATACTACTTGGAATACATCCCAAGTACTACTTGGAATACATCCCAAGTACTACTTGCAATACATTCCAAGGACTACTTGAAATACATTTCAAGTAATACTTGGAATACATTCTTGCACAGAAGACAAGGGTTTAGTTACCACATCATTAAATTTTAAATTTTAGGTTTGACTTCAAAATGAAGTAATTATTTAATTATGAACTTAATAAAACTTAACACTTACCCATGGGTTTCTACCACACGTTTTACACAATGGCCATTTATCACGCGCAACTAGAAAAAAAAACAGCTGCATTTAATTTCACTGTTACTTTAAAATATTTATTAATATATTATTATTTATATGTTATTTAATAATAATTTTAGTGCAATATATTTTTGATTTATCATTAAATAAATAAAAAGCTGAAATATTCAGTTTTTATTGCAACGATAAATGAAATTGATAATAAATTTTTAATTATGAATTAGTTTGATTGCAATATAAACTTAGTATACTTATGAACTGCTATATAACAAACAATATTATTTTATATACAACTCATAACAAAAAATGAATTATTACAAACTAGTACCAACACATCAAAGTGATGAAAATTTATGACGGAGATGAAATATATAACGAGATAGTCTTGAAATATATGACAGAGCTTGAGTTTTGCATGAAGCAGTTCTTAAATAGTTTTCTCCTATTAAGGTTGCTCAGTTAACCACTGATTATATATTTTGCTTTACGTTATTTCTGTACCACTAGTAACACTAGAAATACTAATATTGATAGATAATACCACTAACAATTTGTCCAAATCTGATTAATTTGATTCTTGTGCAATATCAAAGTCAATAACAAGACAATTCTTTTCCAAAAAGAAAAGAAAATTTATACCTGACGGTAATATGTGAATTTCACTTTAAAATATGAACCTTTAAGCAAATGTTAAAATATACAAACTTTAAAGATAAAACATGATTTAAACCAACACTTAAAATGATTCTTATTTAAAAAAGATTTTTAAAACTTGCAACAACAACTAGAAATCTTTAACTTGCAACAACATTAGAAAATATCAAACTTTATAAGCTAGAAACTAAATTTTTTTAAATTATTAGGCTAACCATGCAATAATATTTTATTTACCAGAAGTTGTACTCAATGTACTAGAAGTGTAAATAAATACTTTTTTCCTTTCTAAGATACCAAGCTAACATTCAGTGAACTTTAAAAAAACACATACGGTTACGAAATAATCCTTTTCCCCCATTTTCTTGGTGTTTTATTTGAAGAAGTTTTCGTTTTGACGGATAATCATTCCTTGGTAACTTTTCGTCATCATCAGAAGTTCGCTTTCCCAATACCTTAATCCTGTGTAACACACATATAAGACATACGCATCATAAAATTTATAAAGTTATCTATTTAAAGGATTTAGCAAAAATACAATAAAATTTTTTGATAGCTCATTGGAAAACTTTAAAAATCTATAAATTTTATTTAAGTTTTGTAAAATAAAAGAGAAAATATATATACAAAAAAATACATTATATATATATAAATATATAAAATGCAAAATTGTTTCTTTTTGTTTTTTAAATTGTATTTACCTCCATAAGGCCTACAAGGCCATTACAGCGGAGGCTACTTATTACAGTCGAGGCTACTGTAATAAGTAATATTTTAAATATTTAAAATGCAAAACATTATAAAGTACAAATAGCACAGTAAATATAATATACGGTGGTCGAACATAAGGTTGACATCTCCAATATGGAAGACAATCTGGTTCTTCTGAATCTTTTCCCTCTGCAATATCTTTTTCAGCATCTTTCTACAAATATTTTGTTAAAACATTTTCAAAAATTATAAAATAAAATAGACTTTAATAGTTTTAGTTCTGTGGTCATTTTCATTCAGTTAAAATAAAATGAATAAACTGAAACAGATAATAAAATAAAAAAAATAAAAAGATAAATCATTATAATTATAAATCATATATTATAATCATTATAAAAAAAAACCTCATAAAATCTCAAAACTTACTAAACACAGCTCTTTTACTTGCTTGCAAACCTCTTTAAGGGCATCAAATGATCTTGCTAAACCCATTGGGATTCTCAAATCTGGGTATTTACTTAAGCTACAGAAAATAAATTAAAAAAGAAAACAAAATAAATATATGGAATATATAAAACAGATGGAATTCTGATGATATATTTAAAAATATATAAATGTCAGAAAACATCGGAAATTAATTAATGTCACAGTAAATAACTTATAAACTTTGTTTAAAATTAAATTAGATGAATATAAGATTAAAAAGCTATAAAAAAAAAATATGATTAACTGCTGTCAAATGGAGATAATTACTATAATTTATTTTTTTTTAAGTTCAATATTTGCTATTTGAAAATATTTGTTTTTGAACTGTCACCCAGATAAATATAATTTTTATCACATAATGACCAAAAAGTTTTGAAAAGTTTTTTTTATTATGAGAAAATAGCATGCTCAATAACCAACAAGTAGCTTTTATGAATTTCTATTCCAATAATTAACTTTTTTAATTTTTGTCTAATTTCTCACCGTTTACCAATAATTTACTGTATTAAAAGTATCAAGTAAACATAATTAACCAATAACTTTTACATTTTCCTGATTTGCTTTACATATAAGGTCATGTCAGATTTAGAATCGTCATGAACACCCTGCTAGTGGCAACATGAAACCAAGTACAAGTTTGCCTCGTGTACTGCTGTCTTGTAGGATTTGATTTAAGTATAGGCCAGGAAAAGTTATCTCTGATTTAAAATACTCCTTACCTACCTTGGGACTTAAAGTAAGACTGATATTAACTGCATCTGATTACTGTCTTGTAGAAAGTATCAATGACAAAGGCATTAGAGATAACAAGATATTCAGTAGTTTTTTATCTAACAAGCTTGAATAGATATAAACATGTATTAAATTGATTTCTGCCTAGGATGATGAACGCTGGATCTTCTTGACACCTTTCATGGATTATTGCTTATGACTACTTAGTAGTTGTTATGCAGTTGTTATTGCTTGTGACTACTTAGTAGTTGTTATGCAGTTGTTATTGCTTGTGACTACTTAGTAGTTGTTATGCAGTTGTTATTGCTTGTGACTACTTAGTAGTTGTTATGCATCTCTTCCTATTATCTCCTAGTAAAAGTACAAATCTAAAACTCAATTTATTGGTTAGCAGAGGTTAACAGGTAATAAGATTTCCAAAATTCTGCAGTAGTACTCAGAGAGGCTGACATCATCAAAAACTGTAAAATATCATGGCATTACCAGTGCCATGTTGCGCATGGAAGATTTCCCTGTTAGTGCTTTGGGTTCGCATTGTTCTGGCTGCATAACGAGCCTTTTGTTATCTCAAAGAAACAGGATACTCCAATGTTACAAATTCAAATCCCACCTGCCTCCGTCGCTAAACTTAACTTTCCACTTTAACTCTATTTTAGCTTGGGGTCGCTTGATTGCTCAGTACAAGCAACCAAGCAACCAATTAAGTAGCTGGTGATTTTTAAGTCAAACAAAACTCAATTGTTTATTACTAATAATTATCCTAATAATTACAATAATTATTACATAACTATTATAATTAATTATAATTGTTAATATTTTTATATTGAAAAATGGTTATTACTGAGCCCTCTACTTTAAATTTTCTTAGACTGTTGTCATATTTGGAATGGTTAATCTAATGTAACCCTATAACTTTGTTTTACCAAATTGTTTGAAACTAGCAGCTAGAACAAGTCCAACAACATTGTAATTGTTGTTAGACCTGCTAGATCAAGTAAACTATGATCATTTGTTTCATTAATCAAAACTTAATTTGACTTTTCATAGTTGTACGCTAGTGTGACTTGTCATTCAGCTAAGCTGTACACTTTTATTATTACTTTTCCTTCATGTTCAAAAAAGGGTTATATAATTTTTTCTGTGACACCAGTGCTTTGAAATTTTTATATTTTTCATACAACTTATTTTCTTTCACTTCTCTGTAACTTTTTTATTTTCTGTTAAATCCTAATATAACTAGTGTTTGAGAAAAGTGTTTGAGATACTAATTTATTTATTGTTGTTTTGTTAATTATGTTTTTTATTTATTAGTGTTTGAGATACTAATTTATTTAACTTATATAACTACTTTTTATTTAAAATAATAACTATTTGTGAAAATATTGTTTTTAAATAGTATCAAAACAACACATCATTTGTGATAAATGAGAACAATCTTGCAAATTTACATTTGCAAAATTATCCTGTTGATCTTTTAGACAACTCATAAAAGATCATATACTGACTTTTATTACCTAAAAAATCTATTTATATTATTACCTAATATAAGTTGTGTGTCATTCTTATGATCCTGTGCCAAAAACTTGACACAGCTCATAAATAGATTTATAGGCTAATAAGAGATAAAAATAGCAGCTACATAAAGGATTTAGCATAGCATAAAGTAATATTTATGTCAAATAGCAAAGTTTTATAAATTAATATTTCAAGACAATCTCATAATTATTTCATGAGAGAATTTAAAAATCTAAATTTTTTTGTGTGAAAGTTTTTTATTTTATGAGCACATGTGTGAAAGTTTTTTATTTTATGAGCACACCTGTGAAAGTTTTTTATTTTATGAGCACACGTGTGAAAGTTTTTTATTTTATGAGCACATGTGTGAAAGATTTTTATTTCTACAACAATCATAAAATAGTAGTTACTTCTACATACATCTTTGTTGTTTATGATTTTACCTTTGCAGATCTTATTTTATTCTTAGCTCATAAGTATTAAACTTTTAACCATTTAATGAATGTAATTAATCAAATACCTCAAGACCTGTAAAAAAAGTTATTTTAGTGACCAAAATGATTAACTATTATAACAATTTAATTATGCAAAAGCATTTTTGGAAGTTGAAAATTTTTTAAGAAAATTATAAAAGGTTTTAATCAAAAAATAAACCCATTGAATTTATTACCAACATTAAATATTAATAGAAAATAATAAGTACAATTAAAAACAAAATGAATACCAGTGCAAATAGATTCTAAATAGATGACCACGAATATATCCTACTGGTGGTGTATACTTTTCAGCATAGGCCAAGTATGAATCTGCCATCTCCCAAGCAGGTGGTTGGCGCCCACTGAAAATTGCAGGATTGCATAAAGCACCTTCTATTAAATCAAAAATCTTAACCTAATTATTTAAACAAAATACAACCAAAAATTAAACATTTAAACAAGATAAACATATTAATTGAATAAAAAAAAGTATATTAACTGTTTATTTAGAAAAATTTGCGCAAAGTAAAAAAAATATTTTTATAACAATACTTTTATAAAATTTTTTAATTCTGTAATAAACTTAAAATAGCTCAACTTGTTTCTCTGTGTTGATCAAGGTGTTTAGAGTTGGGTTCTCTGTGTGGGTTGGTATTTTGGAGTTAAAAGGTTAAGAGATAACTGTAACAGCAATTAAAAAAAATAAAATAATAACTTCTCGGCTGTAGCGGCCCCTCGACTGTAACGGGAGGTAAATAAATTAAAACAATAGTAATAAATAGAGGTTGAATTGCTAACAATTACAAAATATTAGCAAAATGCTTTTGAAAAAATTAAAAGTATACCTGCACTCATGATACCATCCACTTTAGTGTATTCTAAACACTTTATTACATCTCTAAGATATTGTATATTTCCATTGGCAAAAACAGGAATTTGGACATTTTCTTTTACTGCTTTTATATGATCCCAACTGGCAAGACCTGTTTTTGGGCCTTTCTGGTCACGTCGCCGCCCATGTACTGTTAAAATCTAGTAATAAAGAAAGAAAATAAAAAGATTTTTCACAGCATGTACATTAACATGACCCATGTTATGAAATGATCAAATGACCCAGGTCATGTACATTAACATGACCCATGTCATGAAATGATCAAATGACCCAGGTCATGTCACCATAAATCTCAGATTTTGCTGATTTTTATACGTTTGAGCGTGCATAATAAAATAAGAATTCCTTGAAAACTTTAATTTAGATCTTGAAATATGACTGTTAAATATTTACTTTTAGGAGTTATTGGCCAGGCACCTCAGAATTGCAATATTTATTTAGAGGTTTTAAGTCACATAACTTTAAAAATATTTGATTTTTTTACTTAAAAATTTGTAACTGGTTATTTTTGGAGGGTGACAAATCCAATGAAATAATTAGAGGTGTAAAAAATTATTACTAAGTACCAGTAATTATCAATTAAAATAAATTTAGGCAATTTTTTATATACCTGTTTTTAATGCTAAAGAAACCCATGTGACCTTGATGATATCAAAAAAAAATTGTGGCACATTATTTTATATTCATTGTTCTTTCAAAAAATTTCAAAAAAGGATTTTGATTTGCAAGTATATAGATTTTTATATATAGGGCTTGTTTTCCACTTTTTTGTAGCATAATATTAAAATTGATAATTCACTTCCAGACTAGTTGGAGCTCTGAAAATTTTGATATTTTTGTAGTACCAATTAATGTGCATGTTAAAATTGTTTCCAGGGTCCCAAGACATTAGAGGGACAGGGGAAAGTGCCCCAATATTTGTAGTGGGATCTTGTGGTTTTTTAATACCTTCCAGACAAACTGGAGCTCTGAAAGTATCATATTTATGCAAAATAAATTCATCAAATTTCAATATATTGATGTAAATTTGATTAGGTTTAATACTTTGAATACCAGAAAAAGAAAATATGTCTGTTATACTAAAATCACTTGTTTGTTTAAATCTGGGTTAAATTGGTGATAGCTCCTTGTTCTAGGTATTATTCTACTTAGCTGAAAATGTTTTTTCAAAGTGGTGTATAATTCTGTCAGTTTTTCTTTTTCAATCTTGAAAAAAATAAAAATTATTTGTACAATAGTCAAACATTTTATTACAATTCAATATTGTCCTATTCAAAATTTATTCAATATGGTTCTTTATATTACAATTCAATTGTTTTTGTTCTGGTCCTTTATGGGCCTTTGTAGACTTAAATCACATTTTCTATAAACTTTCAATACAGTAGTCTTTTGCCAACTTTTCCTTTTGTTGCTTGAGGTATCTTGCTTGACTGAGATTTTCATATAGCCAGTAATGTATAAAACTGTATAAAAAGTAACTGTATAAAAAGTGTAACTGATTTCATACAGTTATGTATAACTGCATAAAAATTGTATAAAAAAACTCTATAAAAAAATAACAAATATTTGGGTCATTTGACATTACCCTATAAGTAATATTTATAATAATATTGATAATGAAATGCAGTTTTTTAACTAGCTTCATGTGTTTTCAATAATTTGTTAGTAGTTGGTAACGTGCTAGTTATATATTAGTAATGAGTTTATAAAAAAATTTATAAGTTTTGGTGATTTGATTTTATTAGACTGTTAATTAGATAATTTAAATTTTATGTCTCTAATTATTTAAATTTGAAAATGAAGTAAAATAATTTGCAAGATTAAACAAAATTTTTTTTTATATTTGATAGAACTTCTATTAGTGAATATTATTATTTAACTAGGTTTGTAATTAGCTATGTAACCTTTTAGTAAATAATTGTTATCATGACGGCATTTTGATATGAATTCAGATTGTTTATTTAGTAGCTCTTCTAGTTCAAGTAAGAAATAATTGCTAATTGCTAAATAAAAAAGTTTTTAGTTTAGACAAAAGTGGCATTTTTAGAAATGTTTTAGTAAAGGGGTACAGATTTTAGAATAAACCAGACAAAAATGGGGGTATATAGCTGGATAGGATGGTTGCTTTTTGGTACACTTGCCTTCTGTTTTTCGTAAATTTTTGTAGAATGAATTTTAGCAGTAACAGCATATTTATATGAGGTTTATATATCTACATTTACATACAGTAGCTGACTTTCATTGTGTTTTGATTGACAACTTTCATTGTGTTTTGATTGACAACTTTTGTAAAGTTTTAAGAAGTTTTGATCAAGAAGTTTTAAAAAACATTTTTTCTACATTTGTTTTTATTGGTTAGACCATATTTCAAGATTATATTTTATTGGTTAGACCATATTTCAAGATTATATTTTATTGGTTAGACCATATTTCAAGATTATATTTTATTGGTTAGACCATATTTTAAGATTATATTTTATTGGTTAGACCATATTTCAAGATTATATTTTATTGGTTAAACCATACTTCAAAACTATATTTTACAGTTATAATTAGTTATAATTTGGAAAAAAAAAAGAAAATTAGAAGATTTATATAAAATTGTTGTTTTATTTTAAAAGTTTAAAAATTATTTTTATATTTATAAATCTATTTATACTATTTTTATAAACAAAATCAATATAAACAAAAATATAAAAAATTTTTTTATAGAGAGTAAATAATATAACTTACCTTGGCACCAGCTCTCTCTAATCTTTTAGCATATGTTACAGTTTTCTCAATAGATTCATACACACGTATCTTACAGGTTATTGGTTTGGTAATGCGAGCACATGCTGTTTTCACTAATGTAACAATAGTATTATTAAATTAGATTTTCATTATAATGTACTAAACAAAATAAACTTTGAAAATCTAAATTCCTCAAGATATTTAAATGAAAATAAAATCTAAATTCCTCAAGATATTTAAATGAAAATAAAATCTAAATTCCTCAAGATATTTAAATGAAAATAAAATCTAAATTCCTCAAGATAAAATCTAAATTCTTCAAGTAAGAAATAATTGCTAATTGCTAAATAAAAAAGTTTTTAGTTTAGACAAAAGTGGCATTTTTAGAAATGTTTTAGTAAAGGGGTACAGATTTTAGAATAAACCAGACAAAAATGGGGGTATATAGCTGGATAGGATGGTTGCTTTTTGGTACACTTGCCTTCTGTTTTTTGTAAATTTTTGTAGAATGAATTTTAGCAGTAACAGCATACTTATATGAGGTTTATATATCTACATTTACATACAGTAGCTGACTTTCATTGTGTTTTGATTGACGACTTTCATTGTGTTTTGATTGACAACTTTTGTAAAGTTTTAAGAAGTTTTGATCAAGAAGTTTTAAAAAACATTTTTTCTACATTTGTTTTTATTGGTTAGACCATATTTCAATGAAAAAATTTTAGGTAAATCATTTAAATATAAGCAACACTTTGTTCCAAAAACATTATCAAAACTTGAGACAGGCTGATTTGTTTATTTTATAAGTTTGCCAACACCTTGTAAAAAACAACTTATGCCATCGTTTATAATATTAACAAAAATGGATCACAAAATAAATATTGACATAAAAATAGAAAACATTTTTTTGAGTGCAAATGTATAACTTAAAACTACAGAAAACCAATATTATACATAACTAAGTCAAAAACAAAAAAACAATATTATACATAACTAATTAAAAAACAAAAAAACAATGTAATAAATAACCGATTCTAAATTAAAAAAAAAAAAAAAAACAGCAAAATATTTCAATGGACTCTTTTGTAATGAAAAGTATTTGCAGTGGTAACTGATTTAAAAAAAACAAAAACTGATGCATATTTTTAAACCAATTTAGGGAAAAATAGTAAATCAAATTGTAATCAAATATTAAGGCTCAGACTTATTTGAAACTATGTTAAAAAAGATGTTGAAACTATCAAATACCAAAAAGTATTCATGAAAGCAAGCATCTTTTATTCTCAACATCTGATAATACTATCTATATCATATGATGATTGTAACAATTATTCATATAATATAATTTCATGTTAAATTAAACATTAGCACTGTCACATTATCAATCGAATTTTGTAGATCAAGTATTTATTATCATTATTTCATTGAAGCTGGTTGAAGATTCGACTAGTTAAACATAAAATAAATCTACATTTAACGTAAATATATTTATTTAAATAAATATATTTCTTCATTTTTAAATATCTTGATATATTACTATTAGAAAAAAATTTATTACACAAAAAAATAACTAATTTAAGTTTGTTAATAATGTTGGTATGTAAACAATTGACATTTCAGAGGAATGTAACTAGTTTTATTATTTGCAGGTATGTAAACAATTTTTTTTCTAATGTGAATTGTTGTGGTGTTGGATGTGATGAATACGTTGAATTTTAATCTCTATTGAACAATCCTAAACTTAAACATTACCACACAACCTTCCCATCTTTGTATACCTGACTGATTCTCGTTTGAATACCTGACTGATTCTTGTAAATATGAAATAGTTATAAAAAAACTAGGTAAACATGAAAAAAATGATTTTTTATTTTCTTTAATCTTTTTTGAAATTTTTAATTTTTTGGTCTACAGTAAAAACTTGACTAAAAATGAAATATATATAAATTCCTATACAATCAATATCAACAATTTTTTTTATTAGTTAGTTCTCAATAAAGTTTTTTTATTGGTTAGTTCTCATTAAAGTTTTTTTATTGGTTAGTTCTCATTAAAGTTTTTTTATTGGTTAGTTCTCATTAAAGTTTTTTTAATGGTTATTTCTCATTAAAGTTTTTTTATCGGCTAGTTCTCATTAAATTAAAGAATACATGCATTTCATGCAAAGAAGTTGAACACTCAAACTGGCAACAATATCTTGCAGTGAATTGCTGTCTAAATAAATCTACTTAAAAAAATGCCTCAAGAATTATGCAATTTTAATCCAAATTTTAAACTTGCCATGTCAGCTCAGAATCAATTGAAAGAATAATTCTTTATTTATTTAATCAAGTCAAAAGTTTAAGAAAAAAAAGGCAAAAAAAACAAACAAAAAACAAAAAAACAATTTACAAATACAAAATTTTATATATAAATGCTTTGTTGGAAATGGTCATGTAATTTAATTTAGATGGGCAAAAAAAAAGTCTGCCTAATTTTAATTGATAATAAAAAGTTTTTCCAAATGGCAATAGTCAGTCTGTATTATTGTTCCTTTTACTAACTTGGAAAACCTTACAAGTTCTTCAGACACAAGAATTTTAAACGATTAGCACCTTAAAAAGCAGACAAAATATGCAAAATTGTGAAAAGTTTGTAAAATGGTACACTAGAAAGTTTAGGTTTACTTGTTTTATTTTTTCAAATCTCCATAATTTTCTTAAAAATTGAAGCTTGTTCCAGTCAAAACAAACATAACATTAATTTTAAGCATTTGAATGGCCTTTTAAAGAGTTTCATACACCAATTTATGAAATAGAGTGTATATTTATCAATATTATTTATCACAATATTGAATACTTCACATATATTTTGCTGTGATATTAACTTAAGTAATTTTTTTTTCCCACTGTTTTTTTCATACTTTTTTAAATACAGAAAGGTAATTACAACATTTGTGTTTAATATGATAATGTTTATAGAATAATTGTCATGCATATTGAAATAATTCAAAGAAAATTATATTGTCCAAATATTGAAATTTGAAGAAAATTTCTCAAAAAACACTCATGAAAGCAAAGAAATCTTTGAAAATCATAAAAATCAAAGAAAGCCAGCTGTAATCAGAATCATTGCCATTCTGGGAAGCCTGGGAATAATTTCGAATCATGAAGACAGTCTGTGTTCAAAGCAAAAAAAATTTATAATTCCACTGCTGCCAAAATTTGTAAAAAAAATGCCACAAAATTATCCAAAAACATGCACTTCCCTTCGGTCATCATGGTCTGAGGTCTGAAAATAAAGTTGACAAACTTGTGTGAATTAAGGGCATCATAGATAAAAAAAATATATACTGCAACATTCTTCAACTTGCATATCTATGTTGAACAAAAATTGTGGGTTGCAGAAATGTTTTTCAACTAAATAATGATCCTCAATTCATTTCTAAATTATGCAGCAACTATATTGCAGTCAAAGAAAAATAAAAACAGCTAAAACATTTAGAGTGGCCTACTTAGTCACCTGATTTAAACCAATTAAGTTTGTTTGTGGGACAAGTTAAACAAGAATGCAAGAAAAATGCAACCAAATATTCGTAAACACCTTTACACATTCAAACAAGTTGAAATAAAATATCAATTGAATCATCGCAGAAACGGATTACAAGGATACACAGCATATGTGCTGCTGTTATAAAAGCAAAAGAAGGATACATTAAAGAATAAAAAAGTCAAAAACAAATGCTAGAAGATCATTTTAAATTTTATCCTATTTTGTTTAAAGAATGATTATTTTATTGTAACCAATACAAGTAACAATCAAAAATAAAGAAAACTAATAGAGACCTGGTCAAGAAAAATGCAGTCAAAAATAAAAAACGTTTGTTTTACTTATAGCCCCATATTTATTTACATAAACTTTTTGTGCTTTGAGTTAAGCAAACTCCTTAATTATTTCAGAAGAGTTTAAATTAAATGGTAAAAAACTAATAATGAGTGTAGTTAATGTATATAGTACATTGTTAAGTTTTAATTCTTCTTATTTTTAATCTTTCAGCGGCACTTACAGACACTGGTAAAAAAATTTGTATCATAATTTCTCCTAACAAGGGTTTCATAACTTTTATAAACATATATATATATATATATATATATATATATATATATATATATATATATATATATATATATATATATATATATATATATATATATATATATATATATGTATATATATGTATGTATATATATGTATACATATATATATATATATATATATATATATATATATATATATATATATATATATATATATATATATATATATATATATATATATATATATATATATATATATATAAATAAATAAAACAGGTTGTTGCTAAAATCCAGACTAACTTTAAGTGACTTTTAAATGCCACAAGCTAAACTTTATTTTTTCTTTCTTATATCCATTTTAAAGCTTATTTAATTCTCCATAATTTAATTTACTTGTTTTAGATAATTATGTCCAAGCAAGAAGAGATAAGAAAACGGATTTACAAGTTCTATTTGAATAAAAAATTGCAAGGTAAAAAGTTCACTGTAGATCACTTCAATGCTGAACAAATTCCAAGAAGCACTATCTATGATATAATCAAATGTGCTGGGAATGATTCTCGACACAAAAGCGTAAGAGAACCATATTTGAACACAGTGACCAAGCTTAGATAAGGCAAGCCGGTCAAAAATATGGATGCAGTCATTCACATATCATTAAAACTCTTGCCAAGTACACTGATATCAAAACATATACAAAACAGGATATACCTGATCGACAAGAGAGCCAGAATGAGCAAATCAAGACCAACATTGATTGTCTTTATTGCAATTTTTAAGGCAAATTGATCATCCTTGATGACAAGTCTTACTTCACACTGCTGCACTTACAATTAACAGAAACAGCACCTATTACTCTAGCGACAAAGACAAGACTCCACTGAGCATTAAATATTGCAAAAAGCACAAGTTTAAACCCTGCTCATCTGGCTGGCCGCTTCTGACAAAGGTATTTCCAAGCCATTTTTTGTCTTGCAGTTAATAAAGCCATTAACAAAATGGATTATATTAAGAGAAGATTAGTGCCATTCATCATGTTCATCATGCCAATGGTAATTATGTACTTTGGCCAGACCTGGCCTTAATGATTATGCCAAAACTGTGATCAATTGCTATTAGATTCATAACATCAATTTTGTCAAAAAAGTTGACAATCCGTCAGCCAAACCAGAGTGTTGCCCAATCTAAGACTTTTGGGCTATTTTGAAATGCAAAGTGTATGAGGATAACTGGCAAGCAAAAGACGCGAAGCACCTACAAACTAGAATAAAGCTATGTGTGAAAAAAATTGACCTCAACCTTGTATTTTCACAAATCGTCTTAGAGTTGGCTGAATCTGAAGAAACAGACTGGTTGAAGACAAATTTCATTAAAATAAATAACTAAAAACTTTATTTTGAATCTGGAGCAATCAATCGAAATTGGTTTTTGCGCCAAAATTTGATGCCATACAAAAAGTAAAGGAAATTACAAAAAATACAGGAAAAAATATATAAAACATGCCCCTTTAAATGGTACGCCCACTAAGAAAAAAAAAAAAAAGTCTATAGAAAGTTCTTGGGATTTATGTGCTGTTACACCAGTAAAGATTTATGTGGATGTATGAAGACATTTCTTTTTTTTTTAATATTTTATTACTTGATAAAAGAAATATTACATATTATATTATATCATATATTAGTTAATATCAGAAATCAGATTTTCACTTCTCCCACTACTACATTAAGCTTATCCAAGTGATAGGGTAAACTGAGGTAATATGGACAGTTAGGAGTATTAAGGATATATTAAATTAGTATGTATGGAACAAGTTATCTTTTCATAATGCTAAAACCTGGAACATTATAGTTTGTTTTTTTCGGCATGTAGTTTATTAAAAAGCATTAAAAAATATGTTATTTATTAGAAAATATAAAACATTTTATATTTAAAAACATTTGTCTGCAGACCTCAGTAATATTAATTAAGTATCATGATGTAAATTTATTAATTATTAAATCTATGATGTAACAACATGTGTAGTTTAATTTTTAATTTCTCCCAATATTTAAAAAAAAAATAGCAAAATCTAAAAATGGGATAAAATGGATATATAGGTCAAATGATTGTGGGATAAAAATGATAGATATAAAATTTTAAAAATACAAATAAAATTATAGACTTTTTTTGAAAAATCACATAACAAGTTAATAGTTATTTATAACATAGTTATATACAACTTTTGCTTTTTATTATAATAGTATATATTTAACAGTATATTTTTAATAGTTGTATAAAATGCGATTGATTGATTTATGATTAAGATCAAACTACAATTTTTCCCTAAATGACCAGGGTAAAACATTTTTCCCTAAATGACCAGGGTAAAACATTTTTCCCTAAATGACCAGGGTAAAACATTTATTCCCATCATAACTATTATATTTTATACCTGATTTTTATATTCTTCTTTACTTTATCCTGTAATATTTTACATAAAAATATAAATTGATGAAAAAAATTATCAAATAACCTCAAGGTTATCAACGCAAGACAATTTAAAAATACAATCACTGTAAATTAATAACTGTAATACAATTTGTTAAGGCAGGCAACTCAGTACACAATGTATCAAAGCCTTCTGTAATTCTATTTGGGACATTATACAGAAGAACCCACAATCAAATCCAAAGGATTGACGAAAGAATGACATAATAGCCATTTAACATACTCTACTGTTAAAATAGTGAAGGATAACCAAATAATTTAACTTTTTTTGCCTCCAAACACAGGTCACATATTACAACCTCTTGATGATGGTTTTTTTGCTCTATTGAAATGTTATTTGAAGAAGACCTTTAAAAGTTGGTAAAGAGAAAGCAGACATAAATGTTGATAAGTTTTTTTAATAAGATATATTCAATTTTGAGAAATTTTCTTGTAAGTAGGATAGATGGCAAACTTCTGAAAAGTAGTTTTAATGGTAGTGGTCACCTTTACCCTGTTGATAAATCAAAATCTATGGTAAAAATAGTGAATATCCAACCAAAGCGCCATGAACTAGATAAGTTTATTGAAAAAGAAATTCAAGTTGTAAAAAACCTACAGGATGCAATTGAGTCTGTCCATACACCTACTCCATTGACAACACTTGTAAATGCAAAAAAATTTAACAGCAAATGATGTTGTGATTAGGTTACAAGAAGGTAAAAAAAAATATTGAAAAGAAAGCTGTGAAAAGTGTTTGATATAAAATAAAAACTTTTAGATATAAGCAATACAGATACAACATTTTAGAACATTTTACATTTATGAGATAGACAATTGAGATAAGTTTAAAAGATAAATGAGTAGCATTTTAAAAAGATAAATAGGACACAAGGCATATGTGAAAAGTGTATCCATTTTACCCCAACAGTGGGGTAATATGGATATATAAAAAGTTTTAAAAGAAGAATTAAGTTAGTTATTTAAAGCTTTTTTTTTCTTTTCAGCATGAAGTTATTGTTTAAACCTTGAATGTAAAAAAAAAAAAAAGAATTTTTTTTTTATTGTGGATATTAAATAAAAAATTATTACATATAAAATAAAAAAATTATAAAAAAATATATTTTTTTATATTTAATTATAAACAGGACATAAATATAAACGCTACTCAATTATAATTATAAAATAAAAAATTTATATGTATACAATCTGATTATATAATTTTAAACCTTAAAAAAGCATTAAAAAAACAACTGAATATATATATATATATATATATATATATATATATATATATATATATATATATATATATATATATATATATATATATATATATATATATATATATATTGCTTTGTTTTACATTATTACATCATTATTACCTTCATTAGCCAGCTAACTTACATTACTGTACTTCTGCAGCACCTACTGCAATAGGTGAAATCTATCATCCTTTTATGTTTGTACAAACATGAAACGCAAATTTTATTTTATTTTCATAATGCAACCATTAAGTATATCTTTCTGCATTTTCTACTTTTTAATTAAATTATAATATATAAAGATTTTTAAAAAAATTTAAAGATAAATACCAATTTCTTCAACAAGATCCAACTCTTCCATCAGGTAGGAACCATAGTGACCTGAACTAAGCAGAATTTTAAATATTATAAACTTTTTGCTGAACAAAACAAAATAAAAGATTAAAAAACATTTTATTTCAAGTGATTAAATAGGGTGTTCTAACATTACTGACATTATTTTAGTACATGACCTCATTGATTTTTTTGTTGGTTTACATAATTTGATCTTTTACACAAACAAACAAAAATTAATGATGTCATGTACTGAAACTCTAAGGAATAATACACGCTTGAATAAACTATCAAGTCTGTAGATTGTGGCGTATATTATGCTGACTTTTTTGCCTACAGAAAAATGGAGAAGGCCAGCTTCAACTAAAATAAAAAAATTAGTTTTTCTTGGTATGCATTTATTCTATTATTGTTTTAACCAAAAAAATTTAGCCCAAACATTTTTTTTAATCATTCTCTTTAATATGAACATAACATGTCTTAGATTTGGGATCCCTTCAAGTATATGGTCAAAAAATAAATTAATTTTATATTATAATATTTAAAATTGTTATAACTATGATTTCAAAAGTAAAAACAAAGTTTATTCTAATTCATCAAATTTTATTCTTATTCAAAAAATATTAAATTCATGTTTTGATGAATTTAATAAATTAATAAATTTGTCCAATAACTGATCCTTGTGGTACTCCATTTATTACTTTTTTTCTATTCAGAGCTGATTGCACTAAGAACTACTCTTTGTGTTTGTTTGCTTAGAAAACCTTTAAATCAACGTACTAAATGTTCATGAGATCCATGCAATTCCAACTTTAATAATAATCTCTTATGTGCAACTGCCTAAGTCAAAGGCTTTAGCAAAATATAAAAAAAGCTAGACATAAAAATTCCAAATAATTATCATACTTTCATTGTTTGAACAACGTCTTTTAAAGTTCATACAAATTTACTAAAATTGATGATGTATTTCATCACATTACAAGCCTTTTTATGAGATTTTGTTGCCCAACAGAAAAGCAAAACGCAAGTAAATATAAAAAAATTATCAATGAAATTTAAATGTTGTTTGAAAAAATATATTTCCTTATTTCTAAAAACTTCTTCATTAATTCTTAAAACATTCTTAACACAACATTATTGTCTTATGTTTGTTTTATCACAATTTAGTGTTTTTTTTTAAATGAGGCGACAATTGTTAATTGTTAATCAACATTCATTCTGTGATTAATCTAAAAAATTATAATGAAAAAACTTTTCTTACAAAGCAATTCAAAATTCAGACATTTAGACAATATACAGTTATAAACATTAGACATTTAGACAATATACAGTTATAAACATTAGACATTTAGACAATATACAGTTATAAACATTAGACATTTAGACAATATATAGTTATAAACATCAGACATTTAGACAAAATACAGTTATAAACATTAGACATTTAGACAATATACAATTATAAACATTAGACATTTAGACAATATACAGTTATAAACATCAGACATTATTGTGTATTAGCACTTTTTTAACAGGATGAAAAAAATTTGTTTGAAACTATAGATAAATAAACAAAACAGTTGAATGTAAAATAAACATAAAAAATAACTTAAACTTGATTTAAAAAAAATTTTCTTTTCCTTAACATAGTTTGAAAATTTTGAAGGTAAAAAAAAATTTTCTTTACCTTAATATAGTTTGGAAATTTTGAAGGTAAAAAAAAAGTTGTAAAGCAGAGCAATTTAAATTTTTAAAAAATTTTAAATTAAATTGAAGAAAATAAATTTAAATAATTTATTATTATTTAATAAAAAAAAATATAATTCAAATACAATAAATTTAAATTAAAAATTTATTAATAATGCAAAGCCGAAAAAAAATTTCAGCTATCTGCTTTTTTATCAAAAAAAAAAAAAAAAAAAAGAAAAAAAAATTCACAATTGCCGAGAAAATGTTTTTTAAAACAATTACTGCTAAATAACAATGTTTCTTAACAAAGCCTGACATAATACTTTGGAGGGAAGTTTAAGTTAGTTTTAGAGGGTTGTGACCACAATATTAATAGCCTCTTTAGCTGTAGCAGCCTTTATGGCCTTAGGAAGTTGAACTAACATTAAAAAAAAGATGTTAAACGTCTAACATCTCGAAACACTCAAAATTTATTATGAAATAAAACATACATAAAAATAGCTTTTTACTTTTTTTAAAAATTCTGATTTTTATGCAAATCTTGAATAATTAGTTAGGAGGAAATTGTTCTGGTCCATTTATATGGACCAGATCCTTTGTAATGAACTATCATTGAGACATATAATTGTTGATATGGATGCCCCAACTAATTTAAAAGATGTTTTACTGACCCTACTGGAAAGGCTGTATTTAAAGTTGATGACATAAAAAGATATGAAACATTTGAACCATCCTCACCATGTCCCTGGCAGTACAGTGCTTAACTTTTTTCTCTGCGCAGGGACCTTGTTCATCAAGGTTTGCATTTTGGAATTTAAGAGTTGAGAGAGGGTTGCAATCACAAAAAGTAGCCTCATTGACTATAGTTACACTCACGGCTTTGAGGTGATGAATAACATTAGATTGAGAAAAATTGATTGACAATCTTGAGAGATGCAGCTTTCTGTTATAACTTGGTACAATTGTCCACAGGCAAAATGGCATACATATTTTTAAAGCCAAATGTAGAAAAATTGTCATAGCAAATGTCTTACCACAGCAGAAGCTATTATTTTCTATTTTATAAGTGATTGGTGATGTTTTTTGAAAATTTTCTTAATTCATCAAATAAGCAGCCTCAGTATATTTCCACATGTGTTATGAAATCAGTATGAAATACAGTATTCTATATGGTCCAGATCATAAATTCAAAGAATTGCTACACAGTATATTCAAAATGGAACTTATTTTGCTCACTTGGAATCCTTGATTTGAACACTTTAATCAAAACTCAAATGAATTGAGAACATTTGCATTAAGGCATGTAAAAATATAAAAAACTCTCTTTTGAGACACAGTTTTGAGACACAGCTGTAAGATCACAAAAAAGGGTTTTGCTCAATACAGAACCATTATCTTTCAAAGAGCTAATAGATTGGAATAAGGTAATAATATCGGAACCAGTGTTTACATGCAAAATCTATACATATGATCTTGACAATCAGTTAATTGTTCTGATATTCTGGTCTTTCCTCTTTAGATGCTATCTTATTTTTAGAGCTGTAAAAGAGCTTACTGAAGCAGCAGTTTTTATTTGTGGGTTTAAAAAACAAAGATTGTGTGAGAGCAAGAAAATATAGAAAATGTAATTTGAGCTTAATTCAGAAAACAATTTTTGGTAGCTTTTTTTAAAAAATTGTAAACAAAAAAATAATTAAAGATACATTTCAAATAAAAAACTGTCATTTTTAAAAATATATATTTTCCTTTTTAGATTGCGCTCTAGATCAGATAATTGTAATACTTTAATTTGTTATTTGTTATCGTCTATTTAGAAAACTGTAAAATTAAAAAAAAGCAGCTCTAATAATGATGTTAAATTTTTATCTCTAAATTAGATTAACATTGAGTTAGTTGGATTATGTTATATGTTATGTTAGATTGGTTATATATTGAAATTAATTTTAATGATTATTTTTTTTTTTAATTTTAAACATTTTAGAAAACATTTAAATATTATAGAAAAATAGAAAAATAAACAATAGCTTTATATTTTTGGATCCTGGGGCCAAGTACCTTGCTAATGAAGGTTAAAAGTTACCATTTCATAACATTTTTTTCAAATTTAAATTTCAGTAATTAATATAGGGAGTGAAAAATAAATAAAAAGTAATAAAAACTGATCAGATTTTGGCCCTCTTAATTTTCGCCCTATTTGTGACCCTTAGCACTTAATTCAGATAATCAAAAAAACATTTTTTCTTGTTATAAACAAATACTTTTTGCAATCAACCATCGTTTTGACTACCACGCTAGTCAAGGAGAAGGCTGATTTTTTTTTTTTTTTTTTTTTTGAACATGGAAGTAATTGCACGCGTTTTTTTGTGTTGCAAACTTTTATGAAACAATTTTGCATAATTTTTTTTTAATTTAAAAAAAAATAAAATCTTATTTTATCTTTTTCTGAATATTCAAAATTAAAATTAGAGAAAAATAATAAGAATATATACACAATGGTATGAGAAATGTACACAACTATGGCTTTTTTAACAAACTTTAAGCAGCTTAAATGCCAAGGTTAAAATGATATTTACCATGTAAAAAACTGAGTGAAATTATAGCTAGGATGAACTTTATTTGTGATTATACCAAACGATAATAACTGATGACCAAAAATGTTAATAATTATATGTAGACATTAAAAATATGTAGAAAAAAAAAAAAGAAACAAAAGTTTATATTTACAAAATGGATTTATTGAAAGTAAAGATAAAAATGATTGGGTACTATACTTAAAAAAAAGAATTAACTGTTTATTAAGAATCTTATAATAGCAAATGATGTTAAGAATAAATGTACACAGAGTTGGTAATATTGATGTTAAGAATAAATGTGCACATAGACTTGGTAATATTGATTTTGACTAGAAGCAAACAATTGTGTTTAAGTTGCATGACTTCAAAAAAAAAAAAAATTTTTTTCAATATTTTTACTTTCAACAAGGTTGCAAGCACTATTAGAGTTACTATTAGAGAATTTATAGATTAAGATAACAATTGACAGACAACTTTAAACATTGCAAATTATATGAATCTGAAAAACAAGATGAAGGAAGCGAATTCCAAAGGACTGATGTTCGAGGAAAAAAAACTATATGAATATGAATATTTGGAGCACTTAGGAACGGTCACAGTGAAAGTCTGGAATTTCAAAACAAGTGATTACTTGTTTTGAAATTCCAGACTTTCCTCTGGAATTTCAAAACAAGTAATATTTGTCATATTATTTATGACAAAGGATATTTGTCATAAATAATATGACAAATATTACTTGTTTTGAAATTCCAGAGGAAAGTCTGGAATTTCAAAACAAGTAATATTTGTCAAGATTTTACATGTATACACTAGTTCTGATATTATTTCATTATCCTAATCTATTAGCTCTTTGATAGATATAACTTCTGTAACCCTTTTTCATGATCTTACTGCTGTGCCTCAAAACTGTGAAGTTTTCCATATGTCTTTAATTGTCTTAAAAGGATCCCAAACTTCTGAGACATGTTGTGCTCATATTAAAGAGAATGATAAAAAAAAAATGTTTGGGCTAAATTTTTTAATTAAAACAAAAAAATAAATGAATACCAAGAAAAATTAACTTTTTATTTTAGTCAAAGCTTGCTTTCTTTGTTTTATTTTAGATTTAAAAGTCAGCATAATAAAAACGCCGCAATCTACAGACTTGATAATTTATTCAAATACGTTTTATTCCTAAGAGTTTAGTACATTATGTCATTGATTTTTTTGTTTGTGTAAAAGATGAATAATGTAAACAAACAAAAAAGTCAATGATGACGTCATGTACTAAAACTCTTAGGAATAAAACGCTCTAAATTATCAAGTCTGTAGATTCTGGCGTATATTATGCAGACTTTTAGGTCTACAATAAAATGGGAAAGGCGAGCTTCACCTTAATTAAAAAAGTTTTTCTTGGTATTTATTTGTTCTTTTGTTTTAATCAAAAAAATTTAGCCCAAACATTTTTTTTTATCATTCTCTTTAATTTGTCTCGCAAGTTTGATTGAAGTGTTTGATTGAAGTGTTCTAATCAAGGATTCTAAGTGGGAAAAAAATGCTCCATTTTAAATATATTGTGTAGCAATGCTTTGAACTTCATTATTTTCTCTTATCAGCTGTTGCAATAGTGTTACTATTTGACCTGGATCATCTACAATACTGTATTTTATATTGATTTCATACAACATGTGTAAATATACTTTAGCCATATAACTTTTTCCATTATTGCTTTACTTGATTGATGAAATTTACTTGATTGATGAAAGAATAATTTTTCACACAATACTCCTTTTATGTATACAGCTTTCGGAACTAGGGTTGATTTTGTGTCAACCTGGTTTCTATGTTGTTTTGGTGAAACCTGTGTTAAAGATTTTGTACAAACCTGATGCTGTTAAAAAAATAGTCAATGAAATTTTTAAAAGAAAAAACTTTAAAAGAAAAGCTCACATGAAATTCTTCAAAAAAAAAATCATAATAACAAAAAGCAAGTTTAAAAATTAAAAGAATTTAAAATATAAAATGACCTCTTGCAGCGATAACTTGAGGACAACCCAAATTTAAATCCACACCATCACAATATGGTTCAGCTAATGCACAAGCCTCTGCAAAAATTTGTGGATCGTTTGCGCAAAACTGTAAAAAAAAAATCATTTGAAAAACAGTTAACAGTAATAATAACAATATTTTTAATTATATCTATATCATGTTATGCATACAAAATTAAAATTTGTTTGTTACGCATCGAAATATATTTATATTTTTGTAAATAGTAATGTAATTCATATTTTTTATATATTATAATAAATTATAGTGTATAGTACAGCCTACTGAACTGTAGCCTTGACTGCAAAGAGGTAACTCCTGAAAAAGTGCATGAATACAAGCTCTGACATTTGCAGAGTAAGCAGGTGATCACATTGTATGACTTATATAATAATTAAATTTTTATCATATTATAGGCTAGGGTTGCAAACTTTACATTCAGCCTAATATACACGGTGTATAATTTTTTCTATAGTTTGTTGTCTTTACTGATAAATGACTTTTTCATCCATTCAAAAATTTTATTAGCTCTATATGTTACTTCAGAAGCATGTGTAATCCACTTATAATTCAACAAGTGGTAATTCTCTTTTTCAGATTTCAAAAGATTTAGGGTGATTAAAGATGCAGCACCAAACATATTTTGATAATAAACTGAATTTTTAAAATTGGTGTTATATAATATTTAATACCAAAAATAAATTAAAAAAACTAAAAATACAAATTTATAATGCGTAGAAGTTGAAACTTTCATAAAAAAGCAACATTTTTTTTATCAAAGCTTTCAGTGTATTATATAATCTCAGGGATCAGAATTAAAACACAAAAGATTGATAGCATATTTTCCTTAATGGTATTTTCTAAACACTAGGATTTTCTAAAGTTTGTTACTTACTGCATTGTTAATATAGATAAACAAAAATTATTTTAAAATGCCAAATCAAGCTATAGGTCTCATGATGATAATAGGAAAATTACATGCTATGTATCTTACATTGACTCAAACAGAAAAGCATTGTTTAAATCTATCAAATAAACATTAATATTTGTGATACAAGTATTCCTAAAGACATGACAAGACATTAAGGCATGTCAATCAACTATTCACAGAAAGAATGAGTAGAAAGATGTCACATTGTCTTTTTTTTTTTTGATTTCTCTACCATCAAATATAATCTAAAACAAGGCCAAAGCTGCAGCTGCGTGATTTGTCAAATAGGAGCTAACTGATAGTAAAAAACTGAGCAAATAGGCTAACTGAAAAGAGGCTGTTAGAGACTAATAAAATTTCACAAAAAAGGAACATAAAAAAGGTGTGCTGACTGTCTAACTCTTTGGACAAGGGCTTGCTAATTATTGCTATATGATTGCAACCTGGAGAAACTTTTAAGCTACTTGACACTCAAGATGTTGTTGAAGCTGAGCAATTAGCTTTAAATACAAAAAAGTATCTAGAAGAACCATCAAAATTTCACAATGAAAAGGGTTGACTAAGAGTTACACAAGATAAGGTATTTCAGTAATTTTAAAGGGTGATGATTTTAGTAATAAATAGCTTAAAAAAACAATTTGTTAACATTTTGTCCGGGGTTGATATTTGACCGGGGCCAGGTTTGATAAAATAAATCCAAGAACAGGTTTGTGACCGGGGCTGAACAAACATTTATACATCCTAAAGTATATTTTTATTTAATATTCATATTAAGTTTTGTATATATATGCATATATACAAATCATTATGATCAACATGATCATCATAATCATCATCAGGCTTTAGCATTCCTCTTTTATGCTTTTTCTCTAATATAAACAACCTAAAGCATTTTTTGTTATTAACTAAAGCTCATTCATACTATATGTAAGGCACTCTCTTCAAGTTTTCTTACTTTTACCTGGTAGAAATGGTAGTGGTAATTACTACCATTTTCTACTGAAGCTGCTACCTCTTGTCATGCTGATACCAAAATCACTTTGATCTTTTCAACAAACATTATTTGAAACAACGTTTTTTCTTATCTGTCTAAGATTATGCCTCTTTTTCTTGTCTTGCTAGAGTCACACCACACATCCATCTGATCATCTTCTCTTTTGGCAAATACTACACCATATAAATACTCAAGTTTATATAACAATGAAATTATAAGATATTGTAAGCCAGCATCTAAATAAATAGCAAACATGCATGTTTATATCCATAATATGTATGCATAAAACGCATCTTGGAAGCTTTAATTCCTTCTGGAATAAAAGTTGGGAAGCTTTTATTCTTTCTCTTCAATTTTAAGTAAAGCCTCATTCTACTACATACTTTTCACCATACTGAGTAGTTGCTATATTAAACATTAATCATTTTATCTTTTTTACAAGAACATCTCTCTTAAGAACAAAAATCCTTTTATTATTGCAAGAAGCCAATATAAAAAAGTCCTGTCTGATGTTAAGCTCTCTTATTCTCAGTTTACTAAATCTTGTATCTTATCTCAGATATTAGGTTCTAGAGATTTTTGGTTAGTCTTCAACAATTTCATTAACTAAAGTAAGTCTATTAATCTCTAATTCATGGGTCTGATCTTTTTACTTCTTCCTAGTATAAAGCAGAGTTGTTTGCAAAGAAATCTTACACTAATTTGACTCTTGAATATTATGGCCATTTAAACAGATTAACCCATTGTTAAACATCGGAATCACTCTAACTTCTAAAGCTAAAGTGAATTCTCAAAAGTGCTAAAGTGGTTTCAATTCTTCAAAATTCAAGAAAACACTTTGTCCTCTCCAGTTACCCTACAATTTTGTCTTCACTATGTTATTAGTTTCTTTACAAAAAGATATTAAGGTTATTAAATTATTTCTTTCTAACTGCAATAGTAAAGTTATTCTTGAAGGCCTACACTCTTCTTTATTTCAAGTAACTTTAAGGGTACCACAAGGTTCTATTTTTGCTCCTGTATTCTTTACAATATGAATCTTCATGAAAATTTTATTCTATTTGTTGGCGATTCAACTTTATACTTCTTGTCTTACAAAAAATCTTCTATTTTTTGATTGCTTAGAACAAGCAGCCAATTTTTATCTAATCTCTCTTCTGTAACATTCTAAAGCTTCCAGTGGCTTATGGATTTAAATTCTGGACTTAAAATCCACAAGTTTTGTTGACACGCCGCCCAATGAGACAGTCTAGTGTGTACCACCAGTGGTACACGCTGCCCAATGAGACAGTCTAGTGTGTACCACTGGTGGTACACGCCGGCGTGAACGTGTTAAATGTGTTCAAGACTTAAAAAAATAAAATTAATAAAAAACTGGTATAACACAGGTATATGTATTAATAATGTATAAAAAAAAATTGTTTTTATAGCCAAATTTTTGAATTCTTATAGAACTTTAGAAAAGTTCCTTATCATATCCGGCAAAAATATCCGCTACCCTCTATTCATATTTGTTTAAATTTTATTTTTGCATATATATATATATATGTGTGTGTGTGTGTGTGTGTGTATATATCTTATACTGCTGAGTTAGATGAGCATGATGATGTCATACTCACCTAATGTCAAATAGCCTGCTGCCGGGGGCTTCAGTACATACATTGACTGACAAATAGCCTGACTCGCCGTGGAGTGCTGCTACATCGACTGAGGGTTTGGTATGGGTCAGCAACATTTTCATTCATTATTCTTCGTTTTCCCTCATCGTTTTCTGAAAATGCTCACTTAATTTAGGCTAGCAAAAAAAGTGAGCAATTGCGCATATAAATATGCTATAGTAGATATATATATATATATATATATTGAATATATTACAACTATTTATATACGTGTATGTGATGGTTATTCTACTATTGAAGTAGAAAAACCTGAGCTATAGTGCGTCATCATTTAACTTGCTGAACATGGATCTGCAGCCCACAACTAGAGGCAATCTGAAATCTATAGGATGAGAATACAACTTTAGCTAATAAAAAATTCTATTGGACTATATTAGGCCAGAATATAACTTTTTAGTCTCTAAACTTATTTAGTTATAATTTTTATTTACTTTATAAAGCGCCTCAAATGGTTGGATGAGCTTTGTGCCAAGCTCGAAAAGAGAGGATACCATCTTACCAGAAGTGCTTTATATACTCAGTTGATGCTCGTCATCTCTTATTGAAGGATAAGGAATATTTTGCCTCATATGTGTGCAATTACAGAAAATAAACAACTACAACGTTTGAAAGAAAATATTATTTTAATACTGAAACACTGTTGTTTATAAAACTTCTAAGCAAATTTTCTCAAAAAGCTACCAACAAGCAATTTAAATTTTTACACTAAAAGAGTGTGTAAAATTTGAATATGAACACAACACATATTAGGAGTTGGTTATCTCATTAAAACGCCCATCCTCATCCAACTCATTCATTCTTTATTCACATATTTATTACCATTGGCATCATTTTTATTTTACTTTTTAGTTTCATAAAACAAAAAAAAAATGAATGTGTCTTTTTCTAAATCCATTTTTTTATGTTTATTTTTTTTTTATGTTTACATTTTTATCTAGTATAGCTTAGAGAACTGAGTTGCTTAAATGCAACAAATGAATGAATTGGTCTGCCATTGTAGTTTTTTGATCAAATTTACAATTGTTTTGTTAGAAAATATTTTTGTTATATTTATTTAGAGCATCAACTGCGTCTTCAGAGTACATTTTAATTGGTAGGTTAAATCTAGATATTGTCAGACTTTTTTTCAACATCTTTACTTCCAGCAAGGCTGCAAGCAACCACTATTAGAGTTGGAAGTTACTGGAATAAAAAAGACTAAATGTATTAAGCAAGATAAGGATTAACAAATGACTTAAAAGATTGCAAATTTTATGAATCAGGAAAACAAGAAGGGAGCAAATTCCAAAGAACTGATGTTCAAGGAAAAAAACAAAAAGAACGTTCTGAGCACTTTGGAACAGTAAAAAGATGAGACTTAATTGAATGAACGCGAGAATAAATTTTTTAAATTGTACAAAAAATGGTAGTTCTTTAGAGCAGTGCCCATTATAGGATTTATAGAAAAAAGAAAAAGAAGCAACAATACGATGAACAACTTGTTTCTCTGCGCAGTGGCCTTGTTCATCAAGGTTTGTGTTTCGGAGTGTTGAGAGAGGGTTTAATAACAAGTAGCCTCCTCGTCTATATTGGGCATTTCTGCCTTGGGGAGGTAAATAACAAAAAAAATAATAATAATAACAAAAAATGTGACAATGGTTAAGCAGGTCCAACTATGCTTACAATGCGTTTTTGCACCTTGTCTAAAAGAGAATCATTAAAAAATCTGTTCCAGCCAGAATAAGAAAGTTGCGAGCACATAAAACAGATGCAACCTTAGCAGATTCTAATTTTACAATGGATTTGATATATGATTTCTAAGAAAGATCGGAAGTAAGCATTAATTTTAAAGAAGACAAATGATAGAAGACTTATCGCGTACATTAACATTCATAAATATAGGAAGATCTAGATTGTTGCAGCAATCTAGATCTTCCTATATATAACATTTAACTAAAAAAAATCGACGTTGTCTGAGTTAAAGTTTAAAAGCCACTGAAAGCCCTAAGCTGTTGAAGAATAGAAATTCTTTTCAAGCTTAAATGTCCCCTCTAAGCAGTATTGGCTTCTTATCAAGACAAGAATAAATGGTAGTATCATTAGCAAAAAATGCCACCTTAGATTCTGGGAGAACATTAATGTTAATTAAAAAAAGTAGAGCCAAGGAAAAAACTTTGAGAATTTACTGAAGCTACCGCAAATGATGAAGAGTGCTGCCCACTCTAAGAAGAGAGCTTATGGAGAAGACAAGCATGCAAAACTTTATCAAAGACTTTTAAAATGTTGAGAGTAATAGCCTTAACCTCTCCATCTAATGCACAATAAAACTTATCAGTTTTTACTGTTAATGAATAAGCAGTAAAACAAGAAGATCTAAATCTATACAGATGATCAGAAAGTAAGTTATTAGGTTTAAGGCGAGAAAATTTTATGGTAAAACAATTTTTTCAGTGGATAATTGCCATTCATTCTATTGTTACCCATATAAATACCATCTGGATAGCACAATTGTATTTCATAGAGAACATTGTTATACGCAGGATGTATTCGAGAACCAATGAATAGCCAAGTTTAAATAAATTTCTAAGTGACATAATTATAAAACTAATGTTTAATTTTGAACAATAAAAAGCCCTACCTGGACTTAAGCTGTTTAAACGCTCGACAGGAAAGTTATTATTTTTTTAATTAAGATTGATCTCAATTTGATCAGCACTTGAAAAAGGTTTTTAAATAAGCTAAATAAGCTTTGACCTCTCCCAGTAAATGTTTGAACACTTACTCATTAATTGACAATGAACCCACATTAGTGGGTTCATCACTCGTTGCGATCATTGTGTCGCATAAACAAAAAATGGTTTATGGATCAAACCCACATTAGTGAGTATTAAACTAACTTGTATCATAATAATCATCTCATTCAGGATCTCCAAATGACTTATCAAAAACTAAGCTGTTTTTTTAATAATGCACTGATTAAATGCTCCTAACCTAACATGCACTCTCATATATTCAGTTAATACAAACTTTTGAAACTATTATCTACATAATGAACATTTTATGCATGCTTCTACAACTTGAGCATTCTTTTTGCAACAGGCAGTATTTGCCTAAAGTTGAAGAAAAAAAGAATGACTTAACTTTCTAATGGAAAGTTATTGTTACAAACATATAATGGAAAGTTGTTGCAAACAAACTATAAAATACATTTAAAGCATGTTTGGGCATAATTAATGTCTCATTAAGAAATAAAAAAGACAATCTTGCCTAAAATAACATTTGCAAATTGAGTTAAGAGTTACATTACATGTGCTGATAACCAATATTGAGAAAGGAAGTTTGAATTAGCCATACAAAGTATATCCATTTACAAGTAAAGTTGCTGCTGTGCTGTCCATGCTGCTGTAGCAGATTTAAACATTTATTGCTGGTTTCAGCTCAAATAACTATATATAATTGTTTTCACACTGTGAAAACCACTAGTAAAGCCATAAAAAACAATTAAGAATGTTGATTATATAATTACTACATAGCCCACATGCTACCCACCCAATCCTTAGCTACTACCTATCTACTACATTGACTGTTATATAGGTACTACAGAGCTTCTACATAGCCCGTGGCCCATAATATAGCTACTACATAGGCATGTAGCCCGCTACATATGTTTATATAAAATGTAATATTCAATATTTTAAATTAATATTAATAAAATATATCATGTTAATTTTAAACATATATAAGATCAAAAGATGAAAAATAAAAAAAACAATTTAAATAAAAGCTGACAAACTAACCTGAAACAACAACGGTCTGTCATGAAATGCTGTTTCAATAGCTGCTTTTCTGTATTTTTCATTATTAACAAATAATGCAGCATGCCACATTGGAGTGTAGCATAGTTGAGCACCATATTCTCGACATAAAGAACGAAAAGCTAACTCTGACTGTTCTACCATTGGAGCAAGAACATATTTAGGAGAACCTAAAACTTTTTCATAAAATTCGTATGCAGCACTTACATCTTCTGACATTTCTTAAAGTCTTATTATCTAAAAAGATCTAAAAAGCTTTAATAGCAATTAAAAATAAATTTTAAAAAAAAAAGCAATTTTGCAGTTTTTTCAAAATTCTTGATACTTACAAAGATATAAAATTCTATAATAATAATAATAATAATAATAATAATAATAATAATAATAATAATAATAATAATAATAATAATAATAATAATAGCAATAGCAATAATAATAATAATAATAGCAATAATAATAATAATAATAATAATAATAATATATATATATATATATATATATATATATATATATATATATATATATATATATATATATATATATATATATATATATAAAACTTTTTTCGACCTGATGCCAAACTCAAAAAGATTGGCATCAGGTCAACTTTTTGAGTTTGGAATCAGGTCAATTGGCATCAAAATTTTTTTAATAAAACAAAAACAAAAACACCACTAATTAAAAAAACTTTCTAGTCATTATTATTGCGGTTTTTTTAAAAAACAATAAAAGTTAATGTACTTCCGCATTAATTTAATTGCTTTGACATTTTGATGACAATAAAATGCAGCTTAAGAGACAAGGTAAAAAATTGTAGTCGAAAGAGACTTTTTTTTACCATAAAAGTCTCTTTCGACTACACTATAAGGATATATATATATATATATATATATAATATATATATATATATATATATATATATATATATATATATATATATATATATATATACACATATACACATACTCACAAACCCACACATATACACATTCATTTATTGTTTATAATATAGGTTTTGAATTCAATTATGTTGGCATCAATATGCTATATTACAGCAATTCAGAAAAATAACAAATATTTAATAAACTTTAGAATTATAGCTGAATATTTAATTATTAAATATTAAATTTCAAGCATGACATGGTTGGTCTGAAAATATGTATACAAATCATACTTTATAGGTATGTACCATACCTAGAGCTTTCAAAATTGGGGATATAACCTGACATTTAAAGATTTTATAAACATATTTTTTAGTAAAAATAAAAGCATAAAGCTTTGGGAATATATATAAATAGTATAGTAATATTGTTAATATTGTCTCTTTGGAACATTAAAACCCCGTATTCCTTTGACGGGTTGTCCACCAGTGCGATCTTTTTCCTCCTCTAGCTCAGCTTTTGTTAAAAATGTAGAAAGACACTCTGAAGTGCCTACACCATTGTCACGAGAATATTTATAACACAAAATTTGATCAAGCGAGTATGAGGGCAATTGAGATATTGTGGAATTTGTAGCCTTGTTGCTAAAATGAATATCTGAAGTTAATCCAAGTCCTGGTAAATTACATATTGGAGGTAAAACATTTGAAGTATATTTGTCTACAGAATAATTCCAGGGCATAGAGTGCTTATGAAGAATAAGGTGATCTAAATTTGCTAGTAACGATGGCTCCATAAAAAAACATGGCATGTTTAGACATTCTCTAAGAGCAGAAACTTGCTGAATCTCTAAATGTTCTTCCATAGATTTTATACGTTGCTCAATATCTTGTCGGTTGAGAGTTACCTAGACATGATTTAAAAACAAACATTTAATTCTTATACACACAAAAAATGCATGATAACTTATTAAACTATAAACATTTTAATGAAAACAAAAAACAGGTAAATTTTAAATATTAAATCTATAACAATAAATATTCTAGGATAAAAAAATGAAATTATTTTTTTTAATTGAAAATTTACAAAAAAATTATTTTATTGCAATTTGATACAAACCACATACATATTTTAAAAACTATTTAAAATTTTTTTAAACTTAGTGAAACAAATAAAATTTGTTTATGATTGCTTGTAACTCAAATCTATATGATGATGATAATGATGATAATAATGATGATGACAATAATAGTCATAAATTTTTTATGAAACTTTAAATTTCATACTATGCAGCAATCATAAATTTTTAATTTATTTACAATCATCATCATCAGGATTATAAATAAATTTAAAATATAAGAATTAAAAAAATGTTTATATAAAAAAGAAAAACATCATCAATGCTTATTTCTCACTAGATTTAAAAAAATATTACCTCACTTGTTATTGGATAAAAAAAATGAACAAAACCAGTTTGTTCTTTAGGAATCAGCCCACGCAAGTATATCAATTTGCCATTAAATGTACTATCTGTAAAGGTAAATAAAAGTAAGGGAGGAAATTTCTGAATATGTTTCAACTTCTGGCGAGGAGTAAGTCCAACTGATTTCAAATATTTTAAACGCTGCAAAAAGAGTTCCACACGATAATATAGTAAATTTGATTGGTTTTTTCTTACAATCCAATAATCATAATTAGCAGCAACATTTCTTATCAACTCAATTCCAGGCTTGGCATTGCCCTCATCTATGCTAACAAATTTTAATTTAAAACTATTTAGAAAATGACTTTCAAAGTTATTTGGTGTAATCACCTTGACATTTTTAAAGTTAACAGTATTTTCATTTTCAACATACTCCATAAAATTTATTGCATCTATATTTTCATTGACTTTTCTTAAATCTTTTGCAGTTACTTTATTTCTTTGCTGACTCATTAACTTGAAACATGATTTATAAAGGTGCAGTCTTGAAGTTCTTTTTAAAAATGCCATTTAATTGTTTCTATAAAAAACACACACGCATGTATATATATATATATATATATATATATATATATATATATATATATATATATATATATATATATATATATATATATATATATATATATATAACATTATTGTAAATATTTGAAAATGCACCAAGTGTTATATTGCCATAAAAAGAAACAAGCCAGAAACAAAACGTTAATATATTTAAATCTTTATCTTAGCTTTAATTTATACTTTTTTAATATAACTATTTCCAGTATATCTTGTTTTTCAGAGGCAACCCCCTCATTTATGTATTTTTTCCAAGTTGTTGACTTTAATCTCTAACTTCTGTTTTTTTACTTGAAATGCAAAAACTGATCTGCATCAGATCTGAGTTGAAGTAAGATATTATTAAATGTGTGAATTTGCAAATAACAACTAATAATCTCCTTATTTAAATTTATTAGTTCAGTATCTTGATCAGTTTTTAAGGTTTTAAAGACCTTTCTTTCTGATTGTTAAAAAATAGTTTAATTATACTATTATTAGTTATTTATAAAAAACCTACAATTTATATGTGCTTTATAATGGGACAATACTAACATCTGTTTATTAAATCAAAGAATCTTATGTTTCACTTTTTTAGCCTCTTTAACCAGTTATAAATTGTAAATTTGACTTGATCAACAGCTGATCGATGGTGATTTTTTTATGCAAATAACTTCAGCAGTAACTAATCAAATAGAATTTACACATCTCATGAGATTTAGCAATGTATAAAGAAGTTAAAAATAATAAGCATCCGGAATAATAAGAGTAAAAAACTGCTGAACTTCTGTTTTAAAATCGAGATGAATATGCACCAGATACTTTTTTCCACATTTAAATTTGAATTTTATTCCAAACCTTAGATCAATATTTGTGAAAGGTAGTTGATTTTTGGCATTAAATTTTAATACTGTAAGTGCTGCAGTTGCTTTAGGCAAAAATACTTGTCAGTTAAGTTTTGACAAAAAAAAACTTTGTTAATTCTCAAATATTTTGACAAAAAAAGACACCATTGAATAGTCAGTCTGGTAAATCAACAAGAATAAATGTATCAACTGGATTTTTTTGCTAGGCTTAGCTTGACCAGGTTGATTATTTTTTTATAATTGTTTTTTTTTTTGTGCGCGTTTTTTTCCCCTAAAAATGAAAATTGTTAAGCTTTTTGGTTATCGCTTTTGCTTATTAACATTGTAGCAATTAATTTAAATTTTTTGGGAATGTATGATGAAAAAGCACACACCAACTGATCAAATGAACTCTTTCGTTGCTAATTCAATTAGCAACTAAAGCATAATATAACTGAATTTTGCTGTGAATACAACGGTTTTTTAAAATAGCCTGTGGTTTTATGGTAGTTTTCTTTATAAAACATTTGTTTAACATTTTGTATTTATGCGTATTTATCACTAACAGGTGTATATTGCTATATTTATATCATTACATATAAATTGTAATACAATTTATATTTTAAAAAATCTAAACATTAGAATAAAAATTTAAAATAAACATATAATATTTGAATAAACTCAAGATTAATAATTTAGGAGATTTGAAAAGTATTTTAAAATATTGACCATATATTCACCTAATTAGTTGATTGCATCATAATAAGAATATTATCGATCAATTTGATTATAAATCTGATTCATGTCTCTGCTTCAAATTTTAAAGAATTGAGAATTGCTAAAGCCATAAAAGCTTGTATAAAAAATGATAATACTTATTACTTAGTAACTTATTAGCAAAATATATCACTAATA